TTGTGAAGAAAAAAAAAAATGCATATGTTTAATGTGACTGGTGATTTCATTTGTAATGATGCACAAAATGGCTGTAAGCTCACTAAGAGAAAAAAGCAAACAAAAACAGGATTCTACTGTTTAAAAAAAATTTCAGTTTTAAATTTGTAATGTAAAATGTGTATTTGCGAACAGTGACCAATTTTCCATCTGTTCTGTAGTGTCACCAGTCATCGAAAAACCTTAAGAAAAAAACAAAACTAAACTAACTTGCTTTGTAGGTTCACACTTTTGATCTATACTTGATATATGCTTCACAGAATCAGAGGAATCATCCTCTTTTTCACTGGACACGATTGTGTAAATTTGTATCCATTGTCTTAAAAAGTTTATGTGATTCTTAAAATACTTTGGCTGTACAGTTTTGGTGTTCATCTTAGATTCGTCAGCAAAATGTGATTATTCTTTGCTGTTTAATGAGATAATATTCGTTTTGAAAATATGTGTAAGCTAAGAACAGTATTTTATTGAGATCAGTAGATATTGTGTCTATCAACTATAAAATCAAGTGCCAGCAAAGAACTTTAAAACTTTAAGTTGTGTATAGAACTGTTTTGTGTAGCATTGAAATATTGTCAGTTTTGTAAGTCACTAAATGTTATTATCAGCTTAAAGGTATTTTTGTATTAAAAGTTTACAGTTAAATAACATAAGTGAATGATGGCATTTGGGGCCAGTAGTGAAAGTATATTTCGTCTAAAATATTTCCCTAAGCAGTGGTATACATGGTTATTTTATTAGGGTATTTGTATTTGTTCTGTGTTTCTCTGTGAACCATGCTCCAGTCTTTGTTTCTGTCACACTATGTAAGGGAGAGTTCAGAAACAGAGACTACATCGTACAAAACTGACATTGCTAAATACAAGTGCTTACCTCTTGAGGGTTTACTTGCTATGGTTGTCACGCTGCGTACCCGTGAAAAATGACCTGATGCTTATGGTGTATACGTTTTTTCCTATACCCAGTTAGAATTTTCTTCCTGAATCTTCATTCAGTAACATGCTAATTCCTCTTCTATGTTTATGCTCTAGTGGTAGAATGCTAACATTTCTTACACCTTGGCTGAGTACAGAGGATTGTGTTCTCAGGTGGGAAACTGAATTTTTTTAATGAAATACCATAGGATGAAAACGGAGAGAGGGAGACACAAAAGGTTAAAAAAACAAACAAACAAAAAAGTTGTCTCAGCCATTTTGATTGGCCATCTGAAGATACTACAGAACATTCCTCTTTAACATTTTTCGTGAACTAAGATGCTTGTCCCAACAGTACGTGTTCCTTCGAAAGGGCAAACATGCTTTTAGTTGTTTAAGGCTACATTTTGTTCTATTTAACAGCAGGGTTGTTATAAGCACTGTACTTAACACAAAGCTGTGTCTCAGTAGTGTATTTGGCCAATTTTTTCTTCACCAGTAACTTCTTGTGGGTAGCTTTGGTTTTGTAAGGTTGAAATAGGACAGTGCTGATCTGAACGAGATTGTCTATCTGCAGAATGAAGGTATGCAAACGACTGATAAATGACAAACCTCTCTAATTTGTCATTCTCAACCTTTGAGTTAGGGAAAAGCTAAGTAGTAATATCTTGGTTTACAAAGAAGTTTTCTTGGGAAGAATTTTGGTTTCGTGATATATTTGTGAATTAGAGAATCGATGTTAATCATTATTTTATAGATAAGTGATTTGTATGTGATTAGTTGCAAATAAAACTGGTATTAGAACCTAAACTTCCTGGCTTTTTAATTCAGTGTCTCTGCTAAATGTATAAAACGCTTGCTTGTGCAGCAAGTGACACAACGAGCAGGGTTAAAAGCCTTTCTTGACAGGAAAGCAGCTTCGTCTCAGTTTTACAATTAATCAGCCCATCTTTTAGCAAATGCTCAATATAACACTCTCTTTGCAAGACTACTCTTTGTAAGATTTAGAATGACCTTAATTATCTTTTGTATCTGTTCCTGTAGTCTGAAAAGCGTAACCCAGATTTTTGCAGGTTCTTCTAAGTTCAAACAAGGAGTGTCATTAGGGCTTCCAGAAGGATAAACTAGAAATTAATTTCACAACTGGCTTATCTGTATTAAAGAAAGAAATTAAATTATACTAGCTCTTTTCATTGCTTTTAGTTGAGCAGAGATTTTAAAAGTTTTTTGTACCTGATATTTTGAGAATCTGGGGAAAGCTTTTGATCCGTTCTTTTTTTTTTTTTCTTCCAGATTTTATTTATTAGAGCACAGGGTGGGGAGGGGCAGAGGGAGAGGGAGAAGCAGGCCGACTTCAGACTTGCCGCCCAGCAGGGAGCCTGACGTGGCGTTCGGTTCCAGGCAAACATTCTTTTAGTTGTTTAAGGCTATGGGATTATGATCTGGGCTGAAGGCAGCCGCTTAAACGACTGAGCCACCCAGGCATGCCCTTTGGTCCATTCTTAAAAAGGCAAATTTGTTGTAATTTTATGTCAAGGATAATATGACACTTCTGTTCATCAGACCTAAGGTAAGAGCACATGTGACAGTGTCTCCTTCCCATATCTGCTTAGAAACTTCAAGACCCTTTTCATCACTCTTACTTTAAGAGGATATTCATTATACCAAATATGATAAAGCAGGGAAGTATTAGAAAGCAAAATCACTTATAGGAAGTGTGACCATCAGTAGAAACGTAAGAGAATGTTATTTTTTTTTTATTTTTTTATTTTTATTTTTTAAAGATTTTATTTATTTATTT